CATTCTTTGCTGTATTATGAACTTTACATGCTAAGTTTATAGCTCGATATGGTATTCTACGCGTAGACAAAAGAATGTACTTTAATTTAATATAAGTTTCATTAAAATCTATTCACTTGTAGTATAAAAAATATTTAGCAAAACTTTTCAAAGAAATTGCAAAGATGCACAATTTACAGCATTACATTCTCTGACATTTTCTGAACTTTACATGTCAAATTTATAGCTCGATATGGTATTCTACACGTAGACAAAAGAATGTACTTTAATTTAATATAAGTTTCATTAAAATCTATTCACTTTTAGTATAAAAAGTATTTACCAAACCTTTTCAAAGAAATTGCAAAGATGCACAATTTACAGCATTGCAATCTCTGATATTTTTTGGAAAATTTCTGTAAATATTTTTTATACTAAGAATGATTAGATTTTAATGACTATCATATTAAATTAAAGTACACCCTTTTTCTACGTGTAAAATTCCTTATCCAGTTATAAATCGATTTGCAAAAGTTCTGTCTATATTTTCTAGACATCAGTTAGACAGATATTCATAAAGATTTCTATGAAAATCTGTATCTTTTGTTCCTTATCGAATTGGGAGATACGCAGGTTTAGAACGAAATGTTTTTTGCCTGTATTGGTTGTTTTGGGGGGGTGGGGTTGCGTATGGCTGTGTGTGTCTGTGCCTGACAATGTATTCTTTTCATCGTTGTTTAAATATTAATTTGATATTCTCTATAGAATATCAAAGTATTATGTTCGATGCCTAGGAAAAACTCTCCAAAAAGTCTTATTTCTGACTTCGTCTGAAGGCTCTTTGCATTCATAGTAATGCCGAGGAATTACTAACAATGACTGATTTCCGGCCTTGACGGTAACATATACATTAGTTATGATATTTATGACGAGTTATGATTTATTTCTTACAAAATTTCTTACAATACTTTCCTGAGTATTATATATAACATTGTATTGTATTATTGTTTTGTTTCGAGCTACCAAAAGTTGATTAAAATATTAATACAAAGTTTCATTGTAAATGCTCGTTAGATTAGTATGAACAAAATTAAGCTTAAAATATCGATTCCTATAGAAAACAAAAACAAATTATATAATTTTCATATTTCTTAATAATCTATTGCATTTATTTAAAATTGTAATATTTATATAATAAATTAAATTACTGTCTTCTCTCTGGAAAGCTAGCAAAATTCAGTTTGAAAAATATTGTTTA